TTCCGGATTTGATTCCCGTAGAATCTCATGAGAAATTTGTTACGACTAAGCGAGTTTGCGTGCTTCACAGGGGCTAGTTCAACCCTTGTGAAGTCTCCTAAACCCTACCCCAATCCTAATTCCTTCCCAATTTTGGCCGCTGAGCAGTGACGCAGGAGCGCGTACGCGGAGATGTTTCTTGGCGGTCCTCTTGACAACAGACAACTGACTGCGACGAGACGTAACGGTTATGACTGTTAATGAGGCTTACTACCGCGCTGATATTAATGGAGGATTACTGCAAAAGCTGTTGGGCTCGCATTCCTTTTGTTTTTTTTACAAAATTAGACACACATATTTTTGAAATTTTGGAAATTTCATTTAATCTTTTACACACACCAGCACATCCACACATTGAGTTCTATTTTTGTTATAAATCACATTTAATAACCTACTACTACACCTCGGGAGGAGTACCATTTGCTATGGCTACTTTCCAATCCATTTATCGGGCACGCAGAATTCCAAGCCATATCGCTTTTTTGGGGCATCTTCATTATCTGGGTTAAATAATTAGATGTTCTAGCAAAGCATTATTACAATTTCATTGAATAACAAATCAAATCTGAAACCAGGAGAAATGATATTGTGTTACCTGTCTTTCCACCCCACTCATATAGAGTACTGTATCTTACTTTCGCTCTTTTTTTTCTTCACATACAGATATGGTCATTGCTCACCAAAAGTAATCCTGCTAATTTTACGCTCACATTAACCCATATTAGTCCCACCGGAGGATGTATAGTTCTGGCATTACACTTTTGTGCGTTAGTAAGTGGAGAGACCACACTAGTCAAAGGGACTAAGGTCAACTCTATAACCCACCACACACACAATTTTTCTCATGGCAACAGAACACCAATACATCTACAACAGTAATTTCTGTTTTGTAACATAAGAGGATTGCTGTTTCATTCATATTATTCTTGTCTAGACACCCATCCAATTACAAAAGAACTAAGCAGTTGGGTTTATTACCCCACCTTCCTAAAAAAAAACATTAGAAAGACAATTATATGACCAATTTCAGATAAAAAAAAAAAACTAAGCATAAAAAAAAAAAAAAAAACATTTGACAGGGTATGAATTTAGAAAAAAGACCGAGTAACATGAGCTGGTTATTGGGTCATTCTATTTCATAGCCACAAACACAAATTTTTTTTTCAAATTGGACCATTCTCCTCTAAATGAAACCGAAAGATTATATCCAATTCTTCGCGTTCTCGTTTGATTGGCCAATGGTTGTTTTATGACCCCAACTGCTTCTGTTAGCGAATATCATTACGGAATAAATACCACCTCTAAAGTCATGTTTCACTTCTACCATTAGGGAAAGGAACAGGAAAAATTTTGAGAAAGGGAAACGCTGTATAATTTAAATTGCTCCAGGGTAAATTTGGGATTACGTTGGCAATATGGTCACGATAGAGAGTGGTAAGGTCAAGAGGCTGAATTAGTATGCTGGGGTGTGTAATGATTGCGAGATAAACCGTATTTGGGAAAAACCCAGGCCTATCAATATAAAATTTAGAAAACTCTCATCACCACGAGAAAGTCTGTGCCAATTATGCCCCAGCGAAAAGAATCGTTACCTTACTACTAGGTTACCTTATGAAATTATTTAATAGATCTAATGGTCGGTTAGAGTTCCTCTCTTCTCCTGTAATCATTGAATCAGGGTAACAAGGCCAAGCAATTATTCTGTGTGGCGCTAAATTTTTTTCATTTATGCCTGTGGTCGGGGTTTTTGGGGAGTCCACGCGCTGGGGATTCTCCAGTTTGATCCTCTTGAGGTTGGAAATCAACCTCTCATTTTCTGTGATGCACTTTTTGGCATCAAACAGGTCATAGCTCAAGCCTATCCTTAGGGCAGCTCGCGATTCAATCATTAGGGTCTTTTCTGTTGGCTGTACACATATTCCTAATGTAAGATTCCTCCGCTGGCTAGGTGTTGGTCCATTATCATCGTATGTTGGTAGGGTACAATCATGGTGATGGGAGTCATCTGTTTGGTTTCACCTGGAACTTCTTCTATATATTATTCTCCATATAGCTTGCTTGTGTCTTGTGCTTGGGTTTATACTAATGTAATGGGTGATTTATATCCTTTGTGGTGGGATCTCGTAATATGTTTATATGCGTAAACGGCAACAGTCGTGCCGTCATGCATCTTTATATTGAGGGATCGGCATATGATGTGTGTGGGCCTGGAGGTATTGGTATGTATACTTCTCTCTCGCATGTCTATGGCCATTGTATGTCCTTTTGGGCTTCTTAAGGTAGAGAGTGCTAGTTAGAGTTTGTGCTTATACGCACAGTATAATAGAGGCAAGATATAACCGCGGAGACTCAGCGGTTGTATGACACACATGCTAAGTGTCTTTGGTGTATTGTTCATATCTGGCGGTTCTAGGAGTATCTAAGTCTTGATCAATGGTAATTAATAAGGAAGTGTAAATCTCCATGCTACACGAACGAGGGGTGTTAGAATTGTCTGGTCGAGAGCACTGTTTTAGTGAGTGTTTCCATGTAGACGTTCGCTATTTATCTTATGGGTTACTCTAGGGTGGCCTTACGAAGGTCCGACGTGTGATGGGTCACTAACGGATTCCAGGTAGAGACGAAGGTGGGTAGTGGATTCGGCCGTCACGGTAAAGGGTACGTTGGTGCTTCAATAAAATATGGACGCTCTCTAACAGATGAGGTCGGTGCTTGTGTTGGATAGAGGCTAGAGAAGGTTCCGTCACCTGGGCCTACGCGGGATGGTGAACGCATGGAGTCATTAGGGGTTATATGGGACTGACAAGCCTGCGGACTTTTCATTAGATCCTTTTAGGGGTTGCACCTTGCTGATATCAACTCGTAGTGTGAGCGATGCTCTTGTCGCTGACAGATTCTCGCTTCTGCACGCGCTGTGAGAGTATGATAGGAATGGTCGGATTAGTTGTTCTCTTGCCCGCTATCCTACTTATTCTATCCGACCAAGAATGGATAATTCATATCTTGGTATAAGATCGTCTTGTCTGGAATAGCGCACGGAAGTGCGAATACCAAGAGGTTCGCCGGTGTGGTATATTGGCTGCGCCATAGCAAATCGAGATACTTTGAGGGAGCGAAGTTTAGTCTGGAACAGAGCAATGATAGATACATCCGGCTCTAAACTTATTGGAAAGATAAGAGCTATGGAATGTAGGGAAGGCTTAGAAGGCTATTCATGAAAGTATGTACGTTGAAGATAGAGGTGGGCTCGAATTACCACTATGGACCTGCATAGACATCTATATCATTTCAATCGCGCATTATATGGTCTGGACATCTCTCAGGTCGAACTCAGGGGATAAGTTACGCGGGTCCTAATCTTAACTAAGAGAGTTCTAGAGGTGGTAGGGTAGATTATTATAAGCTAAGGAGTATCCTGTATCATGATATTTTGGTTTGGATATTTTGTTTTTTCTTCTGCTTAATTGTTTTAGGCCTTATAGAATATCCTGTTATATATATTTATTAGTTCAGGCGATATCCTCGGGGGTAAATCCTGTGCAAAAGACATTCTGCATGCTCTTGTGGTTGACGCTTAGATGAGGTATTCCTCAATATTTCGTATGTACCACTACAATGCTATTGACCCAAAGGCTGCCACTTAGGGACACAGAGTCTCGGAGGTTCTATGTGTCAGGAATTTTACTCTCTCGCTGTTTGTTGTGTCGGTAAGTGGGAACTTATCACTCTAGTACATTCTGCGGTGTACATAGGTAATTCAATTGGGTTAAACCTAGTTTCTATCCGAGTCACGCCATCGCTTTTTCATAGCAGAACGAGTCACTAGTTACCGGATTGCATCTGCCACCTGGAGCTTATAAAGCTACCAGCCAGTAGAGCCTGGATCCCAAACAACGATGGGATTATCCTCTGGAGGGCAAGAAGTTGGGGTTTGTGTTTTTTATAGGTGTGGGTAAATGGGTGTAAATCGCGGTAATTCTGTTAACAGTGGGAATACGCTTTCATGGTCTATTCCGTTGCTCTTTCTCCTAAGGGGTTAGCCTTAACTTCATTGTTTTTGCCCTGCGTGACACACATTTTGTTCACGACCGTAAGACTATTGATAGGTAATGAATTTCACAATAACTTCGTTGGGTTAATTCTCTTTCCTTATTTTTTATGATTACCGTGGTGGCCGTCAGAGCCTGTCTTCAAAACAATTGGAAAAATATTGGGTCATTCCCACTCAGAGCATCTAATTATACTAAT